GAACACTGATGAACAAATCACGGCCATAAAAGCATTCTGTGCTGTATTTCTGTCTTAAAAACTATTCATAGGCAAAATTTATGTCTTATTCTTTAGCTGCCAAGTGATCTTCTTACTCTGATTAAACATTTACTGTCAGCAGCAACTCACAACTGATACTCCTAAATGATGCTGAAAATCTCAGGCAAGAACTGATTGAATTATTGCTGAATTCCTAGTTGCAGTGGTTTTCTTTACATCTGAATTAGTACCATGGGTGAAGCTATAGTTGACCTTTAAAATGTGGTAGTGAGAGATCTGGCTCAGTGACAGAAAGACCAAAATCAGGAAACTTGGGAAAATAACAACTTAGAGAATCATGGCTGATAGAAGCACATTAATATTAAATAATGAAAAAGAATGTAAACAGATAAGAGATTTGGAGAGCCCTAGATCTTTAAAACGCTGAAAGAGGGATGACAAAGATAAAAAATGATAAGACCTGTCAAGAAGAACAAAGTCAATGTGTGTACATTATTCAGTTTAAGGAATTAGAGTCACAAGGTCAAGTACGGGTTACATTAAATATGAATAATGAGGAATAAAGTAAGTAAAAAGCAAGTTAGCTTCATAAATCAATTCCAGAGCAACTTGGATCGGGTGGGGTGTGGGGTAGGGGGAAGGACAATAGAGGATAGCACATTGTAGCCTGTTGAAATGTCAAGATCTATTGCCAATTACTAAATATCAATGTGCTCATGCAAAATCACAGAGTTTGGGGTCATAAAATAGTACACTCCATCTACTGGTAAAGGTTATCAAATTTGCACTTTGAAATGTACTTAAAATACATGAAAAGCAAAGCTAAAACACTGACATATGTAATAAAAAGGAAACACATTACAGTGCAGGTGAAGAGAAAGAACATGTGATCCCGCCTTGCAGCCCGTTATTCCAGGGTGGTCTTTGAGGTGACCTTGGAGGGGATGCCCTGTCTTGATTTTGGGCTATACAGACAATACCAAGAGGAAGTAATTGTAAAGGACAAGCAAAAATAGGGGTCTGGAATGAAGATTTGGGCAAGATTCCATGTGCCGAGGTTAAGGGCCAGAACCCGTTTTTTTCTGCTCCCACTGAGAGCTGTAGAAGCAACAGGAAAGGAACGGGCCTCTAGGACACTAGAGTCTGCCACTAACAACAGATTACAGCCCAGTGCAAACAGTGCACCACACATGTATTGGGCTGTAGAAAGTGGTGGTGAGTAAGCATGTATGTAGCCAAGGACTTCAAAGAGGAGGGGGCTGTGTGATGACAGAAATGATTCAGTGTCCTTAGAAATGACTCATGCAGGCATAGAATATGAAGAAAATAAAGCAGTGTCCACATTCATCACAGCACTTGACAAAGGAGGGGGGATGCACGATCAGGGAGAACAAATCACTGGGACAGGATAAAGGAGAGGGGCTGCAGGGAATATAGAAAGAAGAAATCCAAGGAGGTAAGATCAGCCCTCTAACACAGTAGACAAATACACTCTCACTGAATTATAGTAAGCACAAATCACTCTTTCAGTCCCGGTGTTCATTGGACCCAAGGGAATACTGATTCTGTTTGGGTAGCATTGTTCACTCTTCCTTTGCCTTCCTTTCTATTCATGGGCTCTTTCTCCTTCTAGGGAGGGCTGACATTCAGCAGGTATTCACAGGTAGAGCTGGACCAGGTATACACCTGCACCCTACCTGAGGGCACTGTTTACACAGTACTTATTGCTACATGTTTTGATGATCATCTCTGCCTTCAGGAATGTTTTGAAAATATTCTGAATTCCTTTGAAATGAACAGTTTTAGTGACATAATTGGTAAGTATTTTTTGAACTGTTTTCTGGTTCTGGCATCTCTTCCTGTTTTTGTCCTACCTGATCTTTCTCAGTTACTCATTGTATCATGCCTTCCATGTCTCTGAGTGACAAGAGAAAGCAGAGCTCTCTACTAACCTGTCAGTGAACGTAGAACGTGAGGGGTCCCAAGGCAGTCACTGGAGAACCTATGTGAACCTGTACACCTTAACCAGTAAGAGATAAAGAGATCTAGCAAACAGATAGAGCACACTTTGGTCCTTAAATCTCACCGTGCAGGCAACTCTCTGGAGTTGATTCTCTTTGTTTTGCTTTGTCTTGACCTTCCACTAGGTAAAAGATAAGAGCATTTTTTATTTTCTCCAGGAAAATTAATAGCTAGCCCTGAGCATATCAAGGAAGGAGACAGTGTCAAAATGGGAAACTGTATTACAAGATTGCCATTTAACACCTTCACAAACCCCTAAGTTGTGAGACAGCAAGGGCCCTGTCTGCTTTGTTTGTCCCTGTATGTCAGATGATAGTCACTATTTGTTGAGTAAATGAATGAAGAATAGCAGAGCATGAAAGGACGTGAAGCAAAAACTGATAGAATTGCAAGGATAAATAGATTCATCCACTATGATCGGTGGAAACTTTAATGCCTCTGTTTTTAAAATGGACAGATCTTGCTGGCAAAAAATCAGCACAGACGTAATTGAACTCAACAGCACTGCCAATCAGCGGGATGTAATCAACATCCACAGGCTGTTTCATCCAATAACAGCAGACAACACATTCTTCTCAAGCTAACTGCGAGTATTTACTAAGATAGGTCACCTTCTGTGTCACATAATAACAACTTTAATGGGGAGAAATTATACTACATCTTCCTTTAGCCCACAATGGAATTAAACTAGGAATCAGTAAAAGAAGGTAAATGAATAAATTCAATAATCAACCTGAGTCAATATTAGATAATTCTGGAGTGGAAATATCTTTTTGTTATGAGACAGAAAATTGAATCTGTCTACTAGAAATATATTTGGATATTACCCTGTCTTGAGTAGGCAACAAATCTGGTTTTGTCCATTCTAACTCACTTCTTAATTGCCAAATATAGGATAATTGGTAACCTCTCATCTGTCTGATATGTCCTGGGAATTGTGAATGAAAGACAAAAAAGTCCCCAAGGAAGTTGGTTTTGGTATCTACTTTAATGATATATCTTCTTCCCAGACCTCTTATAAATGATTCCTCTGGCCACCTTTCCCTGACATAAATATTTGTTCTTTTGTTACTTAATCCTTCTGTCTAAATGAGCAGTCTCGATCCCTTCAGGTAATACAAATGGAGTCATTAGAACCAAGATCTTAAACCACAAAAGTTTAAGTATGTTCAGAAGTACTTTCAGAAGGAATTTATTCAATTTAAACAAAATTGTAAAAATTATCAGAAATATTCTTTAGTCAAGATTGTAGTCCGGCCTACTAAGCTGCTAAATCACAGCCTCTATGTGCAGAAGAGTAGGAAGTAGGGAAAGTGGAAGAAATCCAAGTTTTAGAGGTCTCCAATGCCTGACCTTCCCTTTATGACACCAAGAAGCTCTGAGTTGGGAGTTGGGCCTGGTTGTGCTTGTCCAAAGTTTATCCTGATTTTGCTTCTTCTGTCTCTTCCTCATTCTGTCGCACACTTGACTCCACTCCCAACTTTACATTTTCGAATTTACCCTTTTGTCCTCAGTCACTAGTTTTGAACTTTTCTCATTTGTGATTGACCTTAAATACTTTGTTTGCTTAGGCCTCACATATGAATTTAGTCATCCAATATACAACTTACCTATCCACAGTAGATGTTATTTTAGTCTGCATAAAAATTCTGTTCAGTATCAAATAGAGTGGAGCTCTATAAACCTGATAACAAACAAATTAAACACACAGACCCTTACCAATGCTGTATATGTCATATCGATGGTAGCCAATGGACTTCTGAATGGCAGAAGATAGGAAAACAGGTGAAAGCAGTCAGTCACATCTTTAGAGACACTTTGGCAGAATGTTGGGAGTTGAAGGTGATCAAGCTAGTTCCCATTCTTGTTCTTCTCTGAAGCACTACACTTAGTTTGCCCATTTATTTCTGTTCAAAAATTACTCTGCCTAGTGACAGATAACCATGGCTTTTCATGTGAATTTCAACTTCTTCTTGAAACCACAAAATCATTGAAGATAATCTGGAGATTTTGACATATTGGATATAACACTTTTATTTCAATATTCACCTCTAAAATTGCTAATGTATACTTAGAGATCTATCATTTCTAAAATGGGCTTAAGTTTTGCTTAGTCTTTTACCACTTGTTGCTATCAATCAAAACTCAAAGTTTTGAAAGATGCAAGATTATGAGAAAGATGTAATAATGTTATATATGAGCCTTTAGAACAAGCATACCTAGGCTTATATAAAGGAATTTGTAACCTATCGGCTCTTTAGCACTTTGCTGAATCCAACTAATGTAACTATGGAATAAAATGTTCCTGCTTCACACCATTACCCTAACACATTACAGAAAACATTGCAAAAAAATGAGGGAAGATGGGGCAAAGGAAAAAATGAGGAAAAGAACATGTCTTAGTTACTTTTCCTGTTGCTGAGGCAAAATACCCAACACTTCCCAAAGATAAAGGAGGAAAGATTTATTTAGATCACAGTTTGTAGAGGTTTCAGTGATAATTGGCTGGTTCCAAGACAGGGTGACTTGGCAGAAGGCCGTCACGAAGGAGAATAGTTCATGGCAGGTAGACTGTAGCAAAGCAATAAGGGAGAGAGAGAGGGCAAGCTTCTTTCTTTCCCTTATAGGGTATGTAGGCTACCTGCCCTAGGTCGAGTGCAGCATTTGCACCCTTAATCATCTTACCACATAGCAACAATTATTAACATTTTGGTACATAATGCCCTGATCATTTTCTAGGCTAGTCTAGCTTTCTATATCACAGACTAACAGCCAGCAACATTTTTTTTTGCAAAGGGAAGATAGCAAATATTTTCAGCTTTTCAGGCCATATGGTGTCTCTCACAACTATTCATTATAGCCCAAACAGAAGTCATGGAAAATATATAAAAGATTGAGTATAGCTGTATTCCAATAAAACTTTATTTACAAAAGCATTTAGTTATGGGCCACAGAGTGTCAAACTATCATAAGGGAGTCTTCTAAGGCATCACTTAAATAGCCTCACTGGCCTCCAGTCCAGGCAGATTCTAGTAGGGTGTGATTTCAGTAATGTTTCACTTCTATTCTTGACTCTTTATTGCACTTTGCCTCCTGTAGTTGTTTACTGACCCATTCTTGGGCTAATTGTCTGTTCATTTCCATGTGCATTCTTTTTGCCTCATCTGCTTTCTTCACTTTCCCTGAGTATTAGCTATTGCCAAAGAATATTAAAAGAGGAAAGAATCAGAAAGTATATACTATTCACCTTTAGCTGGGCACTATCCAATTCTCCATTTCTGATTTGTCAAATTTCCTTTCTTACCTTTATACATTTTTCCGAGCTCTGCCTCCTCATTAAGTCAGATGTGCATTTTGCTGACTTTCCTTGCAGATGAATTTCGTCTCATACTTTCACAGAGTCCTGAGGTTATGTCATGCGTAGTCCCGCAGCTTGTCTCTACCCTAAAGAACTATATGTTAATAGAGTGTTTTCACGTGTATCACTCAACCCCTCACACCCTGTGTAAGACTGACCTTTCCACCTGTGGCAATCATTCTATCCCTTAGGCCAGCTTTCCAATATTTCATCACTTAGCATTCTGCTTTGCGTTTACTATCTCTCATGATCCTAATTTTCCTGGCTAGAAGCACATCCTCAACCTAAATACCGAACACAAATAAAACCTCTGGGAAAAAATAAGGAAAAGTGTCCACCATTCCTGTTCCAAGTGGTTATAGCTCCAGAGTCTTTTGCACCATCCCACCTCCTCCTATCAGTTTGGCTTGGACATGCACCCTCCATCAGGATCGTTTTACAAAAGATCCCAGTGATCTTTCTTTAATCGTCTCTTTTCCTCCACATCAGCATATTCTCAATACCTTGTTTCCTTCCCTGGGCTTCAAGGTGCCTGTATTCTGAATCTCCAAGTCCCTGAGCCTGTCTTTGGTCTCAGTTTAGGACTCTGATACTCATTCTTGTTCCCTGGTTCAAGTTGTTTCTAACAGTTTTACCTCTGCTGTCTTATCTTTCTGGAAGTGTGTGTGTGTGTGTGTGTGTGTGTGTGTGTGTGTGTGTATGAATTATCTGTAATCACAACCTTGCAGTTTTCAGGAAGCGGTGGCCTTTCAGATCTGTTCCTCCAGTTTTCATGGCAGGAGCTCTGCTTCACATGCACCAAGACAAGAATACCGGGGCTTAAATTGCTTTCCACCTATCTTGCACTAAAAGTAAAAGAAGAAACGACAAACCAAGACACAAGCTCTACTCCCCTAATGAGCTCCCCCTTGCACGTTGAAGGTGTTGCTCTGGGAAGAGCCGATCTTCACTACCCACTCCAGTGAAGTGGTACAGGAGTTCTGCCCAGAAGAAAAAAGCAAGACATTAAGATAAAGAACTCTGCATTTTTCCAATGAGCTTTCTCTGCAGCGCAGCATGGAGACATGATTATAATGTCAAAAACAATAGATTTTGGTGCTCACTGCCTAAGAAGTGAGTGGTAATTGATAAAAACACAATGACAGAGCAGTCAGTCATTTAATAAAGAGGACTAGAGAAAGTCAGTTAAGAAGAGCCCTCCCGAATTCACGTCAAAGATGGAGCCTGAGAAGTTTGTGCGCATGCTCTCGGCTGTGCTCTCACAGGATCAGTCAGACCCGGATGTAGTGCACCACGCTTCACACAGGTATGTCCGCACAGGCAGCTTTACAGGTGCAAGGAACTTAAACATAGCTTTCAAATGCTTATCGAAAAATAAGCTACTGTAACAGAAATGAAAAATAAATGAGCTACTCTAACAGGATGAAAAATAACAAAACAGTGATCTCAGGCAATCTGGAGGCTATGTGGATGTCCATGATGGCTACACACTTTTAGAAGTTATAAGGAAGAGAAAATCCAAGTTCCCAATCTTATGCTAAAAGAGAACAAATGTGGGGATTTAGCTCAGTGGCACAGTGCCTGCCTGGCAAGCATGAGGTAGTGAGTTCGATTCCTGGTACCATAAAAAAAAAAAAAAAAGCACAAATGTGTAAAGTTCTTGAAGTGTAGTAATAGTCTCCAAGTCACACCTACATAGTGGTAAATGGTAAAAACCTAATTACTGGAGAGGTTTAAGAATGACCTTTTACCAATAAGTGCCTTATGCCAACTTGAGGCCACCTCTGAGTGGCCAAGATAAAACATAATAAAGCAAAAACAAAACAAAACACCAAAGAAATAACACTTCCCAGAATTAGTTCAACTAATAAAAAAAATAAAGCAAATTAGTTAAATGATAAAGTAAACACTATATAATTCAATTAAATATAGAGGTTAAAAAGGTTAAGCTACAGTTTTTAAAGATTCATCTACTTAACTATATGCTGTTATGAAATTCAAAGATACAAATGGAGCTGGGTAAGTTGCATTCTTGTAATCCCAGTATTTGGGAGGTTGAGGCAGGAGGACTGCTGCTAGTTTAAGGCCCACCTGGGATGTACAGTGAGTTCAAAGCCAACCTAAACTACTTGGTAAGACCCAGTCTCAAAAACCAACAACAACAACAACAACAACAACAACAACAACAACAAAAACCAAACAAGATACAAATAGGCTTTTAGTAAAATGAAATCAAAACTATGCAAAGAGAAAAAAGCTGGAGTGGCTATATTTATGTAAAAACATAGTTTTTAAAGCAAAAACTATGTTATTGGACACTAACAGGGATATTTTATAATGATAAAAAGCCAATCTAATAGAAAATATCAAAATTATAAACACATATACGTAGCCCAAAAAAAACCTCAAAATATATTAAACAAAAACTTATGGAGTTTAAGAATAAGAGTTTGAGACTTTAATCATCTAATTTCAATATGGAGTGAACAGCCAGACAGAATATCAACAAGGAAACAGAGAAATTGCACATTATAAGCCAAAACCTAACAGACTTTATATAAAGCACTCCTTCTAGTAGCGGTAGAGTACTTACTTTTCTCAACTATGTATGAAACAATTCCCACAACAGCCGTATCTTAGCCTCTTAAAAATTAATACATTTAAGATGATTGAATTTATACAAAGTATGTTCTCTAGCAACAATGAAATGAAATTAGAATCAATAGCAAATAAATTCACAAACATGTGCAAATTAAACAACATAGTCCCTAAAAACCAATAGATAGAAGAAGGCATTAAAAGGGAAATTGGAAAATATTTTGACAAGCTTAAAACAGAAAACCAAGGTAGCATGGTGTATACACCTGTAATCAGAGTACTTTGGGATGTTAATGTAGGAAAATCAAAAGTTTGAGACGACCTGGGCAACTTAACAAGACCTTGTCTCAAAAAGATAGATGATAGATAGACAGATAGATAGATAAACAGATGATAGGTAGATAGATACAAATATTAAAATAATATTATATGACTCAACAATTTCATTTCTGTCTATATAATTGAGAGATAAAAACATTTGTAATTGGAAGAACTTGTACATGAATATTCATACAAGTATTATACATTATAGTCAAAAAGTGAAAACAATCCAAATGTCTATCAAGTTGTGAATAGATAAATTGTGGTGTATCTACTAAATGGAATTTTATTATGCAATAAAAGAAAAGAAGTACTTATTATACCTAATTCAAAATAGATGAACTTGGAGGACACTATTCTAAGTCATAGAAGCCATTCACAAATGACTACATACAATACTGTGGGATTCTTCTACATTTTACATTCAAGATCGATTGAGAGTACATGTAGTTGGTAGTTGTCTGTGTCTAGATGAAATGAGAAGTGCTGATATGTATAGGGTTTCCTTTTGGTGGAACAAAACTGTTATAAAGTTAGATTGTTTGTAGATAGTCAACCCTGTGAATGTACTGAAATCATTAAATTATATACTTCATATGGAGGAACTATATCTTAACAAGCTTTTTGAAAAGATTTGAACTTGTACACAACTCTCTGTTAATTGACTCAGATTTTCCTTCTGTTGCTGTTCATAGTATCACCTTGAGTTCCTCATGCAGTTTTTGCCCGCATCAGGGAGCTGAGACTAGGTTAGGGTATATGAGATGGTTGTACGCATATGACTTACTGGCAGTGGTTTTGATTGTTGGTCAGAATGCCTGTTCTCCACTTAGCCTCTTGCCCTCCAGGAGTCTAGACCAGCTTCTTTATAGAGTACTAACTATCTGAGTGAGTGAATAGGGAAGCCTCCAAGTGTCTTAAAGGCCAGCCCTTGAACAAGCATAGCAATGATCCTACTGGTTTCTTTTGCTCAAAATAAGTTTAGCTTAGATGCAACAGGGCGTGAAATATACTCCATAGTTTGGTAGGAGTAATGGGGTGAGTTTACAGAGATGGGAAGATCTGTTGGTAACCATCTCTGAAACAATCTCCCACAGAGCTGTTTACCATTCAATAGCAAAGGTGTAGTCTATCAAAGAACAAGTGAGAAGACAGACATCACAGTGAACATCAGTATTGTTAGGTGATAGTATTACTTCTAGAAATTCTTGTTCTGGTTATTTTATCTGCTACTTTTGCACTCAGGACTCAGTATATATGACTAGTTCTACTGCTCTACAAGTGTCATAGAACATGGAAAATTCTGTAAGATGGTCTAAGATGTTTTCTAGGTTCTTGCTGTACGACTCTGGAAAGGAGTCTCTGCTCTAGGATCTTGAAAGCATATCTGATAATACGCTATCTCCAATTGACTAGGGAATGGAAGACTCTCAGAAAAGGGTGGAGTCTCCAGACATCTATGGCTTCACCAATCTCCCTTTAACTATCTGTGGTTAATGCTGTGGTACACCTCTCCAGACTCTCCCTCCTTACAGGGCCTGAATCCTTTACCCAGATGTTCAAAATGTTAACTACTATTCCTCTGTAGGGGGATTATCTCACCTGGAAGTAGCTACTTCAAAGCTGGTGGAACAAAGAGAATTGCAGAGAGTAATGTATTCATCATGTTCTCCAGAGACAAAACTAATCCTATCTATCTATCTATCTATCTATCTATCTATCTATCTATCTATCTATCATCTACCTATCTACCTATCATCCATCTCTCTATCATCTGTCATCTATTTATCTATCTATCTATCAATCATCTATCATCTAGCTATCTATCATCTATCATCTATCTACCTATCTATCTAGCATCATCATCTATCTGGCTATCTAGTTAGACAGCTAGCTACTGCAAGAATAGAGAAGGAATTAATTAAGAGAATTGGCTCCTGTGATTATGGAGTCTGAGAAGTCCTGCCACAGGCCATCTACAAGCTGGAGGCCAAGGGATGCAGGCAGCATGGTTTCAAGTCTGAAAATCTCAGAGCCAGAAGAGCTGATGGAGTAATTCTCAGTCTGAAGCCAGAAGTCTGAGAAACCAGGAGAGAGGAGATAGAACTCCTTGTAAGGCCTGTAGTCCTGAGGCTGGGGAGTGTGAGGTTGTGTTCAAGGACAGAAGAAGGAGAGTGTGTCAGGAGAGAAAAGGGAAATCATTTTCTCTGATTGGGTGTTGTCTGGTCACATTGAGGGCCAATCTTCCCCACTCAGTTCACTGATTCATATACCATTCTTCCATGGAACACCCTCACAGACACACTTAGATACAATGATTTATTAGCTCTATAGCTGTTGCTTCATCCAGTCAAGTTATCACCTAAAATTGACACCACAGTTTCACAGTGACTCAAAATCTATGTCAAGAGCTAGAGCAATGCACAGCAGATGTGGCATTATCCTTTAGACCAGTGGTCTGCAACATTTTTGGCATCAGGGACTGATTTTATGAAAGACAATATTTTCAAGTCAAGGGTGAGTGGTCAGGGGTTATTTTCAGGATGATTTAAAGGAGCACAGTCTAGATTCCTCTAGCTCACAGTTCAGTGTACGATTTGAGCTCTAATAATGCTCTAAGGCCACAGCAGATCTGACAGGAGGTAAAGCTTGAGCAGTAATACAAGTGATAGAGAACATCTTTAAAGATGAAACTTTACAGACGAAGCTTCACTCACTCGCCTGCTGCTACTCTTCTGCTGTGTGGCCCAGTTCCTAATGGGCCATGGGCCAGCACTGGCCAGGGATTGAGGACCTCTACTGTACATCACCAAGAACTAGAATAACCTTAAGCATAGAAGTGGAAGGAACACATCTGTCCTTTTAAAGGACCCTCATGGGGATGATGTGGAATATGAACTGGGTGGTGAAGGTAGAAACAAAAGGAGAATCAGCCAGAGGTGATGATAAAACCTACTGCATTTGTCATGAAGCAGCCAGAGGTGATGATGAAACCTATTGCATTTGTCATGAAGTAGCTAGAAGTATATGATTTGAATAACATTTCTGAACTAAAATTTAGAGGACTTAGTAATTGGACATGTGGGGTGAGGAAGATAAGCAGCAGATAGTCTCAGACAGTGGCTGTGCTGGTCAATTGTTTAACAACTGGCTCTCTGAAAAAATTTGCTCGTGCATAAATGTCATTATATAAGTTAATTTAAAATTATACTGATATAAAGTATGTGTAGTACATAATTTATAAATAGTAATAATAGGCAATATTTTCAAT